CAGTGCCTAACTGCTAATTCTAGGAAAGTAAATAATTGTCTATTCCCTCCTCATCAGGTCCCTTTTCTTTTCACCTCTGTTTTTTAAAAGTATGAAAGGCTCGATCACTGGAAAAATTGGCACGATTGTCAGTTTCTGGCTGAAAGGAGACAGCTTGAGCAGAGGGTTGTATCACGAGGGAGACCTAAAACATGGCAACAAAATTAGAAAACAAGACCTGTTGGATCATGTTTAGAAGACTTTACTCCTTATTTTTGCCCAGAGTTAGCCCCCCTGACAGCACCATGAAAATTGTCTGAATTTGCAGAACGTCTAGGCTACTAGGTACCTATGTGAGGGTAACCTACCTTGGCAACACTGCCTTCATAAGCAGCTCGAAGGCGGCCTTGCAGAGCTGGTGAGAAGCACAGCAGACGCTCATTCTCAGCCAGCAGCTTTAAGGTCCCTTTATCCAGGTAGGAGAGAACCCTGCAAAGACAGGTGCGTGCATGACTGAGACAGGCGAGCAGGCAGCAAACAGAAACTACATCTGAGGCATAAGGCAGGTGTTTAAGCCTAGACACGTATGGCAAGGTCATGGGCTAAGAATCAAGATGATGAAGGTAAAGGGTGAAGACATGAGACTTCATGAAACTGGCAGCAAGACAGCTGGCTAGGAACATTAGCCATGAGCATAAAGGTCCACTGCCATGTGTTGTTGTTGTTGTTATTGGTTTTTCGAGAAAGGGTTTCTCTTTATAGCCCAGGTTGCCCTGGAACTCACTCTGTAGACCAGGCTGGCCTTGAACTCAGAAATCTGCCTGCTTCTACCTCCCAAGTGCTGGGATTAAAGGCGTGCGCCACCACTGCCCGGCTGGTTTTTTTGTTTTTGTTTTTTTTGTTTTTGTTTTGTTTTGTTTTTCGAGACAGGGTTTCTCTGTGTAGCCCTGGCTGTCCTGGAACTCACTCTGTAGAGCAGGCTGGCCTCGAACTCAGAAATCCGCCTGTCTCTGCCTCCCAAGTGCTGGGATTAAAGGCATGCGCCACCACCACCCGGCTCCGGCTGTTGTTATTATTATTATGTTACTATTATTATTATTTCTTGTGGTATATGGGGCTTGCTATATGACCAGCAAGTACTCCAGTGATTTATATACGTAGGCCCTTTTGTATTTATTATTTGGGACTACAGTTTAATAAATTTCAAAGGCTGGCTTTGAGTTTTCTGCAGCCAGAGCAGGTCTTTAAACTTGCAATCCTTATTAGCACCAAACTCAGCTATTTAATCTTTTTAGAGGATAAATTCGTAGCTTTGATACAAAGTTAAACGTTACATATGGGCCAGGAGTGGTAGTGCATACCTTCATTTCCAGAACTTGAGAGGCAAGGGCTGGCAAATCTATGCAGGTTAGAGGCCAGCTTGTTCTAGGGAGTTCAAGGCCAGCAAGGGCTACATAGTATTACCCTGACTCAAAAAAAAAAAAAACCACCACCAACAACAACAACAAAAAACCCCCAAACCAAACCAAAAAACCAACCACAATCTCCTTCCCCTAAGCAAAAGGTTACAGGTGGAAAGGTCTAGGGCAACTGTATCTATTAAGCAAAGTCATGTATCCTACATGGCTAGAAACATAATAAGACCCAAATGCCTCAGCAAGAAAAACTCACTGAAACTGATGCTCCAAAACCTGCACTGCAAAGAAGACACAATCATGGATGCTCCGAAATAGGGGAGTTTCCAGGGAATCTAGGCCAATAACAAACGGTTAGATAAGAACTATCCCACCTGCAAACATCAGTTCTCAAAATTAGACTTGCTTACTGACCTAGGGCACCCTGACTTGATTCAAGGTCACTGTCCTTGGTGGCCACCATTCTCCGGGCAGTAAGGAGCTGAAGGACGAAGAAAAGCTCCAAAAAAAGGTTTGGTACTAGGTTCTCTGGATACAAAGAGAAATGCCATACCATTGTGAACCGCTGACAACCAGGCCAAGGCTCTGCGTGCCTCATCTAATCTCTTTCTCTGCAGTTCACAAGCTCATCCACCGCAGCTCCCTTTGCGCTCACTCACCAGCAATGCATGAGGAGTAGATAAGGGCTACCAGCTCGAGGCGCTGTCGAGAAGACACTCGGGCCGGGTCCGCAGGCTCTGCTGTGAGGTTTCCTGTCCTGCTGGGAATGGGAGACCCCGATTCTGGGACGGGACAGGCTGGGGTAGGTGACTGCTGGAGCTGCTTGGAGCTATGTGAACAAGAGATGTCATGATTACTCAGCCTGGCTTTCCAGCAACACTCACATTCAGGTTCTGCCAGAGAAGACATCAACAGCCCAGGAAGCAAACCCAGAATCCCGAAGGGAGAAATCAAGTTCAGGAAAAATCCCTGCAAGTCCCGCACAAGGAGGAAGCTGACATCCCAGGTGGCGGCAAAGCCATACCGCGCCTTCCTGAGCATCTCCCGCTCCTCTTGCAGACTTCTGCACCCTGAGGGAAGGCCAAGGCCCCAAGGGCTAATGTCCAGGGCTGAGGGTTGGGAACTGGGGACACAGCTGATTGGGGGTGAGGTGAAGCAGGTCTTGGGCTTGGACAGTGACCGCTCTTCGCTCACCGGAGTTGGGTTGATCCTTCGAGAAGGCTTCGTCCTGCTGAGAGTAGTCACAGTTTTTGTTTTTGTTTTTCAAATTTCTATCTTCAAGCATCATTCCATCCATAATAGTTGTGCCCCTTTTAAGCCCTCCCCCCCCCCCCGCCACCACCCCCCATGGTTTCTTCACCCTCACTCAACCTTTTAATAACCATCGCGCACTCTACTGTGGGGCACCTAACTCTGCTTTAGCGAATATCTTGCAATAAGGACCGATTCTCACCCTGCAGAGCCGGGAGGAACGGTGCCTACAGGAGGGAACTCCTCCAAGTTGCTGAGGTTTGGCGGATCAGAGAGCGACAGTCTGGGGCTGCCAGGGCTGCCTGAGCCCTTAGGCTTCCGGCCTCCGGCCCAAGGTGGGCTCTCGCCGCTGGCCCCCTCCTCCGGGCCCCCGGAGCCCCGACCACCTCGTTCGCGGGACGGCCCGGGTCCCGGACCCCGCCTACGGCCCGCGCGGCGGGCCAGAGGTGCCTCGGCAGCGGCGGTGCTGAGGGGCTCGGCTGCAGGGAAAAGCTGGCTGCGCGCCCCACGGCCACCCCGTGGCGGGGCCCCCTGCCTCGCTGGCAAGGCTGCCGAGGCGCCTGGGGTCTTGGCGGGGGTTGAGGGGCCCTGCGGGAGGACCCGGCTGCTCTGCTCCCTCAGGAAGTTCAGCAGGAACGGCACGAATTCCTTCCGCAGAGGCCGAAGTGCGCTCAGAGCAGCCACCTCGGAGCTATCCTGAGGAAGAAGCAGAGGTCGCGGGGCGAGAGGGTCAGCTGACAGCGCGGGCCGCCAGCGGCTGAGGCCGCAGGGTGGGCGGCCCGGCAGCGGCGCGCAGAGGAGCACCCTTGGCGCGGGCCGTCAGCCAGGGCAGGCTGGGAGAAGGGACTGAAGCATCATCCCCCGCGGGAAGCACATTCCAGGCAGGCTTGAGGGCGTGTCCGCACTGTTACCTCCGAACTCGGGGTGCTGCGCGCGATCCACCGCACGGCGGCTGCGACCGGCACCTCTTCACGCAGCAGCGACTCTAAAACGGCCGCCATCCCTGTCCAGGCGCTCTGAGGCTACTGCGCAGGCGCACACGCGCCACAGGCGGCCGGGAGGGGCGGAGCCGGCGGCCGGAGCGACCGTTGGACGACGGGGCGGGCCCTTGCGGGGTGGGGCTCTGGCCCGGGAAGATCTGCCCTGCCAGCCCGGCCTGCCAGGCGGCGAGGCGCCTTTCCCTGACTGCCTGGCCCCTGGAGCAATGTGATAAGATGGGATTGCTGCGAGCTCTGGGGAGACCCGGTCCAAAAGAGAGGCCAGCCAGGAAAAGTGACCAACTCTAACCAGCCTATCAGACCAGACATCTGCCATAGGCACAGCCTCAAACCACCGACTGTAGTTTTTTGAGTCCTTCCTCAACCAAAATAAAGTGAGTAACCTTCTGTTTTGCCCTTTTTGAGCCATGATTTCTCTGTATAGCCTGGTCACTCTGTAGACCAGGCTGGCTTAGAACTCATAGATTAGCTTTAGCTTGCCTTTGCTTCCAGATTGCTGGGATAAAAGGGGTGCGCCCGGTCTACTTAGCTTTTTTGTTCCCTTTTACTCAAAGGCTGACTTTTTAACCATTGGTCAATCTTTCCATCAACTGACAACTGAGGACAGAGTTCCTGCTGAGGCATCTTATAAAACCATCAGATCACAAACCATTGAAGGTCCTCAGGAATTGTCCATCGGGTTTGTATTTAATCCTTTACGCATTATATTAAAGAGTTTACATCAGGAGAATATTTCAACTTCTTTTATTTGGGAGGTCAGTATTCATGATTAGCTTCTGGAAGAGTAAGGCATTTCTGGACACCCCTCCCCCCAAACACACACACACAGACACACACACACTGACTGGTTAATCCTCGGAATACATCTGTCCATCCCTTATTTTGAAAAATATGAGAGGCTTTCAGATGTTGCTCTTTGGTTAAAGAAAAAAATTAAAGATATAGGATCTAGTTGAACAGTTTCCTTCAAAGCAAAGCAGCAGTGTTATTGGCCCTGTGTTCCTCTCATTAAAAGGAAGACCACTTGGCGATAGGCAGTAGATGGGGCAGGAATCCCTCTAGTATACCAAGGATGTTTGTTAAGGAGAAGAAAAGGGAGTTTTTAAAAACTTAATTCTTTGCTGGGTTTAGTGGATGTTTGCAATCCCAGTACTTGGCAGACAGAGACAGAAGAATATCAGTTTCAAAGTCAGCTTGCACACCCTCAGACCCCTGAACCCTGGTTTTCACCTAGCTTCTATTTAGTTAGCCCAAATGTTCTTCTCTTGGTTGTTTGTCACTTCTAGTGTGTGAAACACTTTAGTAGTTTATGAAATATTTTTCACTTTTTGAAATCCAAACCATCACACAAATAGCATTAAAGTTTGCATGCGGACTGAATGTTTTATTACTAGATTATAAAAATAAAATACAAAATAATTTTAAAACAGAACTTAAAACACTGTACAAAGCTTTAATATGGTACAAATGGGAAAATTAAATAAATAATTACACTTTTATGTACAGATGGCCTATACAAAAGCACTGCATGTTTTCAATACTCTATGCTGTGGTTGCCTGAGCAAAAACATATAACGGGAAGATGCTTGAAGGAGAAAGGATACAATGTAATACATTGAAAAGAACTTCAAACAGCAAGTCCTCATTAAGAGGAGGACAGTAAAACATTTATTTCTCTTGTTCAGTAAGAGAATTTGGGTTGTGACTAAATTTGATAACATTTGTCAATAATAACTTATGAACTTATTATATCTAATACAAAATGAGATGTGCCTCCTTTTCTGAAAAATTTGGACTCTGTAAATAAATAGTCTGATGAAATAGATGCTATTTAGGGTCAGTGTCAAAGGAGAATAAGAACTGTGCATCAGGGAACAGCAAGGTGGCTCAAGCCCGGGTCATCAGATCTGTTCTGTCTACTCAACTCACCCAACAATCCAATCTCTCTCAGTTAAGATTTTGTTTTTGCCTTCCCTCTCCCCTGTTTTGAGTCAGGGTCTCATAGAGCCCAAGTTAGCTTCCAACTCATTATGTAGCTCATTATGTATGACCTTTAACTCCTATTCCTGCCCTTACCTCCTAAATGTTGAGATTATAGGCATATACCACCAAGTCTAGGAAATCCAATCCCACTTCAAAGTCCTGAGTGGTCCAGTGCTACATTTCCTTTGTTTTAAAAGAAAATCTATTTCCTATATTTTAATTTCTTAATTATCTTAGAGAACTAATTTCATTAATTGATTTATAGTTTAATAAAACTATTTTAGCCAGGCATGGTGGTGCAAACCTTTTGTCTCAGTACTCAGGAGGCAGAGGCAGGAAGATATGGAGTTTAAGGCCAGCCTCATCTACAAAACAAGTTCCAGGCCAGGGCTACACAGAAAACCCCCCATCTCAGAAAACCAAAACAAACTGTCTTGAATAAAGTCTCAAAGCTTTCTTCTCAGCAAACTCCCTAAAATAAATCACAGCCAAACTCTGTAGCCTTGTTTACTGCTGTGTGAGCAGAAAACACCCGGCACGTTCCAACTTTGATACAAGTGAATTTTTGAGGTTTTAAATTATGTTTATGAGATTTTTAAAAAGTATCATATGGCAAGGATAGTCTACATAAAAACTTGGTTTACTAATGTCTTTAGGTGAACAATCATGTATACAATACAAAATAAATTTAAATTATCAAGAGAAATATATGTTAATGTAAAATAATTTTATTAGCAAATTCTGTAATTCTATTAGTCTCGGAGATCTGCCTCATTCATACTGCTGTTGGTTTAGAAATTCTGGTTGAAGGTACCAGGAGATGTGGTCAGTATCACAATGAGCCTGTAGTGTAGATACTATCACCTCCAATTAGAGAAGGCAGAAACTTGTTACATTGTAAGGGCAATGAAAGGAACATCACTTTTGTTACTGGGCTCCATAAAACCAAGGATTGAGCACAGTATAGGAATCATCCCATCACCTTGAACTTGCCTTAGCTGTCAGTGTTATTAGTACTTGTATGGGAGCAAATACTGAAATCATTACTGAGTAAATCTGTTATTTAGCATCTTGAGATTTTGTGAAGCCAAGAGATGATCTTGTCACTAATTTTCAGATACAAATCCTCTCACAAGAGGAAGAACTTACCTGAAAGCCTATATATTTTACCCATAGTCTCCTCTAAGTAAATAGGGGTTCTTGTTTCATACTTGGGAATTACCTAGGAATTTCCCACTTCCTGCAATTCAGGAAAGCAATGTTGTATAACAAGATTCTTAAGGCCCCAAGATGTGTTAAATTTCTGGAGAAATGGATAAAATAAGGCAAATACCCAATAATATGAGGAGTTTCCACTTTACTTACATACTGAGTGCACACTAGAGTTTTGTAAAGTTTTGGTGAGGACAGATGTGGGACATGCTTACCAGACACCTCCCACTGTCTTAGTTGTGGAGCTGCCTCTAGTTTCCTTCTATAAGTTACAGTCTAATATGCACCACAGTGGCTTCCAAGTTTTGTATATAGGGACTATATGTACTGTTGGCATGTAAAGATCACCAGAGTTGTTACATGCTGTAATCCTATAATGCATTTGGATTAAAACATAAATAGCTATTCTGCAAATATGTTGTCTATAGACCAAAATTCAAGAAATTTAAGCAGTACATAAGTTGGTTACATATGTCCTATTACCTCAGTGACAGAGGTGCTAAATGACCTCTCTCCAGAAACAATATTCCAAAGCCATAGACAGGCACATTGTAAAAAAGTAAATGCAAACTATGAACATGACAGAAGTAATTGTTAAAGACATGCCTGACATATACAAACAAGTGAGAGGAACAGCCAACGTATAATATATACACACATGTATGAAAACTTAAAAAAATAATTAAAAAAATAATGTTTTTGTTTTGTTTTTTTGGGAGAGGGTCCCACACTACAGCCCAGGTGGACTTGAAATCACTATGAAGTGGAGGTTGCCTTCAGACCATTCCATCTTCCCACCTCAGTCCCTCAAGTACTGGTTAGAAACATGAGCCATCACACCTAGCTAACAAGTTTTTTAAATATGAGAAACTTTGATCTCCAAGGCTAAATCTAGATTATCTATAAATATATTTTAAGATAGCATTTTCAAGATGCATTTTTTTCCCTTAAGCCACTAAATTGTGGATCCTGTTTCTCCTATCACCAATTCCTAATGTTAGATTAGAAATGTAAAATTTTCTGCCCTTCAGGAAAAGGCACCTGTTTGTCAAGGTTATTGGGTGTAGAAAATCTCATTATTACTTGGCTAGCTATGTGGTCTAGGTTTATAAAACATGCAGCAATGTATACCTTTTCCTTTGTACAATGGATACAATCACAGAAACAGTAGCCTAGGAATCTGTGACTGGGAGAAAGTCTCTGGTACCTGCTGCAGACCCTCATGTTTCCACAGTGGCCAGGAGTAGGATGGACAGAGATCCTGCACGTGTGGAACGCCATCAGCACACAGTGGATTAGTACGCTAGAGCAGATAATGTACCGCGGATGACGAGACAATGAGGCTTTGACCATTTTGCTATGATTTTTTTTTTTAGGCCTTGATTAACTTATTGCAACTTTTACCAAAAACATTCATTGTAAAGCATGCAACTAAACTAAAAGTGGCTGTGCTCCTGTCTGCAAGGCCAGCTTGTATGCAGAGCTGTAGATAGAAGTGCCTGGACACTTCATCCAGGTGACTTAAGGTCTCTATCCTAATGTTGAATCAGATAGGATCCAATTCCCCGTTTTCACTATCCATTAAAGTCAAATATCTTTAGGCTGTCCAATATTACAAGGTATGATTTTAATATTTCAAGCAATTCACAAAGCCTATAGGTCAGTAGTATAATTTGGGGGCAACATTACCTAAAATTAGGAACTAAGTGTCCATTCTTTGCTCCACTGAAATAATCACAGGGACTAAAAGGCTTGAGTTAGTAACCTGTGCAGATAGAGGCCAGGATGTACTTGTTTCCCAAAAGATAATTTCTGTCATACACTACCTCTATTGTGGCTACAGTCATGTTCTTCACCTTATTTGGATGATTTGTGACTGAAATCTGGAATACGCCATCAATAAAAACCTCAAAATAAAGAACTGAAAATCCAAACCAAAACAAAAGCTTAATTCTCTAGATCATTCTCCTGAGCCAAGAGTTGGCTTAAGGCTGCCAACTTCTATTTTTAACCTGAAAGAAATGTAATATCTAAAAGCACAAACTATGTTTTTTAATCTTTTGTTTGTTTGTTTGTTTGTTCAAGACAGGGTTTCTCTGTGTAGCCCTGGCTGTGCTGGAACTCACTTTGTAGACCAGGCTGGCCTCCAACTCAGAAATTTGCCTGCCCCTTCCTCCAGAGTGCTAGGATCAAAATGTGTGCCATAACGCCCAGCTCCACTTTTTAATCTCTGTATCAGGACAGCACTTAGTAGTACTGATACATAAGATATAATTAATTAATCCATTTCCTTTTCTTCAGAGCAGAAACATCTTTGGTTGGCTCTTTTCCCTACATACAAAATAAAACATTCTCACATAATGGGGCCTTTTATCTCTGGATTTTGATGTGTTTGTAAATGACATGTAGAAAAAGAGGCAACACACTGAAAGGTAGGAGAAAGTAAACCCAGACAGAAAGCATCCTGTGTCAGCATGACTGCCAGCAGAGACATTCAAAGAAAAAGGCTGGGCCCTGTTCGCTTTCCTAGTTACTTTTAGCACATTTCTGACTAGAGAGGACAGTGAGAAAGCTGGCTACTTTTAGCATCATTTAGCTAATGTAACAGAAAAGAGATAATGTCAGTTATCCTACATCCTATTCCCATGCCCCTTCAAAAGAATGACATGAAAGAGGCAACTTTCAGGAAATGTTTTTAAAAACAGTTGATGCCAGCTGCATAATAATAATGCCCATCTATCCACTCTAACCATAAGGACAGAACCATGTGGCTAACATGGGTAATATTTGAGCCTGTATTACAAGCATATCCTGTTAAAATTTTCCCCTATTAAAATACTTTTTAGATGAAAATTAAGTATCTTACACCTTGGCTTGGTAAAGGCTGCCAACTGCTGCACTGCGCACCCAGAAGGCAGGACAACTCTTCAGTATCACATGCCAAGAACATATTTTCAGAAAATGAAGATAGGCAATGCCCAAGTGTACACGAGGCACACAATAGAAAAGGAATTTTATCATCTATAATCTTGAAATTACAAATGCAGGATGAGAAAAATGGATTTATATAAGCATATGTCTCTATATTTATAAATATTTATATATAATTTACCATGAAAGACATGCAAGCAGTACTGCATCAGCTGTTATACAATATAATACATGAAGATCAGTCTCCAGTATTACAGTTGTAATAGATAAACAACAAATGTGCCTTACCTACTGCACCGCTCTCAAGTGCTTGATGCTGGAAAGAAACTAAGATTCCAACTATGCCACATTTCTCATGGGAGACTTTATGTCTCACTGTAGTAGTGTCCCAAGTTTGAAAATGCTCAACACAAAATAAGCTGAGCGAGTGCAGCGCCAGGGCAGCTGGGCTGCACCACTGGAACATACTCAGTGATCACCTAGTGAAGAAACACGTTTCCTTTTCCACCCCCACGCCTCCTGGAATTCAACTGTTTTAGGTTTGACAGCAATACAAAGTCAAAAAGTAGATGTTTGTTAGAAGGCAGATTTCAACAGCAGGCAGATCAATTTCCCTGACCTCAATAAGGTTTTTATACACCCACAGGGCATCAAATAGCCCACTTAAAAAGTCTGTTGTCTTTAATTTGTCTGATTTCTGCTAGTAGGAGAGTGAGATTAGAACAAATATGATCATCCTCACAACTTTATAAATTGAAATTTAGATGTCAACAGCATCTATAAACAAGAGCCAGTTAGTGAGTTTCTTCCCCTTGGACTGTGCTGCCCGGAAGCTTCCGATGCAGAGGCACGGACTCTGGCTGGGCTTCCTACCTGCCCTAGCTAATTACACTTATGTCTTGTTATAAATGTGGAAATCAAGCTAAGAAGCCCAAGCATTAAACAACACACAAGAACCAGGTAATAAACATTGAAAGAAAACTCTTTAGTCTAAATTTATTTCCCAGATATTCATTCCTTATTGGCTAAATGTATAAAATACAAAATCTGATTTTTTTATTTCTTTCTAAATCTCTAAAAGTATAAGCCACATTCCGAAGTGGTGCTCTTTCCTATATCACCCTGAAGGCTGACACTAGAAAGAACCCAGGAAAGCTGTCTCCTCTGCAGTCTCCTTCTGTGAGGAGGAAATGTAGTCAGGGGGAGGGTCAGCTTGTACCTTTGAAAGCCATTGTCCTGCTCTCTCTCCCTTTCCCAGCACACCTGCCCAAAATAGCTCTAGCTAGACATTTCTTTCCTTTTTGAGATAAAACATAGGAATTAAGAATAAGAACTTTTGCTCAAAGGAGAATAGGAAGGTTTGACTAAATAAAGGTAATTGGATTTAGAGTGTTATCGTGTGCTGATGAAACACACATTAACATGTATTGTAAAATAAGAGGTAAAAACATTAACTTTAAAAAATGTAAAATCCAGGAAAGATACTAGTAATGAGTGGAAAGAAAGGTGTAGATTCACTAAATAAACACACAAACCAAATATACCCAGGTAATAGTTTCCTGGCAACAGGCTTCTTATATTTGAACGTCTGTGCAATGACTCTCCAAGGTTAGGAAGTTTTAAATAAAAATATCAAATACTTTTGCTATATACTTTTTGAGTAGAGGATTAACAAATTAGGCAAAATCACTTAAAATCCCATTCTATTTCCTATCCTCAATTTTCTGTTTCAAAGGCAGCTATAAACAAGAGCCAGTTAGTGAGTTTCTTCCCCTTGGACTGTGCTGCACTGAAGCTTCCGATGCAGAGGCACAGACTCTGGCTGGGCTTTCTACCTGCCCTAGCTAATTACACTTATGTCTTGTTATAAATAACTGATCATGTTACTTTCTTTTGAAAGAGAAGATCAACACTGATTGTTTGAAACAGACAGTACAGGGACACACATGCATCAGGTCTAGGAGGAGGATCTCACACCTTTCCCAGAGACGCAGCCCGCTCACTTCCTATCTGCTGAGTTTACTGGCTGGCTTACTCTTCCCTGGGGGAGTTTTAGAGCTGGCTGAGTGGTGGTGGAGGCTGCCAGATCCTTTTGGGCCATTCTTGCTGGGTTTGCAATGCTCCTGTTGGCAGGACCTCCTGGAGGATGATGATCCTGAGTGGCTGGGGGGTGACTTGCTTCTCCCCAGATGCGGGGAAGAACTCCTCTGGTCATGGTGGGGCCGTCCAGCCCTAGATGGTGAGGAACTAGATGTTCGAGGCAAGGATGAGCTTCGAGGAGAGGCACTGGGACTCCTTCGAGGTACAACTGGACTCTTGGGTGGTGTTTTTGGATTGTGAGGAGATCCTGGGCTCTTGCATTGGGTAGTACTGCGGGATTTCTGAGATCCATTTTGAAGAATTTGGGCCAGGCGAGAGAAAAGGTCTGAGTCAGAGTTACTACTCCCTAGAACTTTATATCTGCGTAGCCTTAAAAGAATAGAGAAGAATTATTTTTTTTGGAAACAGGATATCAAAAATTTATTTTACGTGTGCCTAAAAAAAAAATCACAGTATCCCAAATTATGATTGTGTATGGTATGTCAATACCAAAAAATGCACTAAAAGTATACTGAGTTACTCTTTCACATACATCTGTGTTTGACATCTGCTATGTCTCTTTGGCCTTTTGTTTAATGTTTGTTTCCTTTGACAAGGTCTTCCTGTGCAGCCCACATTGATCTTCAAGAACTCAGTATGTAACCCAGGCCTGCCTCAACTTCCCAGGTATTGGGATTATAGGTATGTATCATCTAGTTTTCTATCATTCCTGGCCAAAGATATCTTGTTTGTGTGTTTTTTAAAATTCCAATAGGGGCCACACGGATGGCTCAGTGGGTAAAGGCTCTTGCCACGATAGCCTGGTGACTTGAATTTGATCCCTGGATCCCACGTCAAGGTGGAAAGAGAGAACCAATTCCACACGGTTGTCCGCACACCTCCACATGTGCACCACGCACCTCCCCATCATGCAACACGCTCTCCTCTCTCCCTCTCGCTCTCATAAAACTTTAAAATGTTTAGATAACTATATAGCTCTGCTATATATTCAGATTGACTAGTCATTCTCTTGCTTCAGAGCCACCATGTCTAACAGTAATCAATGTTTTGTTGTTGTTTCTTTTCAATGGTTTTTGGAGACAGGCTCTCTCTGCATGGCCTATTTTTAGTGGAACTTACTGTGTAGGTCATTATTGCCGTGAACTTGTGATTGTTCTGCTTCAGTCTCCCAAGTGTTGGCATCCGTGTGTGCCACCACACCTGGCTTTATAATCAATTTATATAGTAGAATGGGTTGTCTCTGGACCATCTTCATTAGTTTAATCAAGCACATGGAACTTTAATCTGACTATGGTGTTTAAAGGTGGAGGCTTTGGGAAGTGATCAGATTAGGTAAGATCATTAGGCTGGAGCCTCTGTGGTTAAATTCTGGTGGCTTTATAAGTAAAGGGAAGGAGACTGGCATATGCAGAGATGCACAAGGTGCTCAAGCCACCATGTGTAGTGACTAAGTGAAGGGGGCACTTGCCACAGCCTTGTGCCATACTACTTGAAATTCCCAATCTCCTTATAAATTATCCTGCCTCTGGTAAATGACTGTAAGAACAATAAGCTGGCCGGGCGGTGGTGGCGCACGCCTTTAATCCCAGCACTTGGGAGGCAAAGGCAGGCAGGTTTCTGAGTTCGAGGCCAGCCTGGTCTACAGAGTGAGTTCTAGGACAGCCCGGGCTATACAGAGAAACCCTGTCTCAAAAAAAAAAAAAAAAAAGATAGAAAAAAAAAAAAAAACAAACCCAAAGAAACAATAAGCTGACTAATATGTAAAATTTAAAATTTTAAATAAAGAATATGTGTGTTATGGGCTTTTAAAAAATATATATATATCAGGAACCTATCCCACGTAGAAAACAACTGCACTAGAAGTCAAATGCAATTATTTAGAAATTTGAAGTACATTAAAGGCTTCCAACATATACAAGAAAACTTGGGCATAAACTGCAGTTATTTTTGGTCAGTTTCAGATTTTAGCAAGGTAGTTGTTACCCATCTCTACCTTCAGACCTGTGGCAGTCAACTCTGTACTAGCTTCTAAAGCAGTTTGCACACAACTTACAGGAATCAGGGTAGGCAAAACCAACCTACCCACCCAGTCCTTAGGCTGTAAACAGGCCAGGGGAGCTAAGAGTACGGTGCTTCCTGAAGAGCTTAGTTTAGTTCATCAGCATTGGGCAACTCATGACCACATGGAACTCCAACACTTTGTTTTGGCCTCCGAGGGTACCTGCACACTCCCCCAATGGAAAATAAAAATAAAGTCTTTGGGGGAAAAATCTGTTTGGAGACTGTTCTTTCATTGCTTTGTTTGTCGTCCCCTCCCCAAAGCCTTGTTCATCTGAGGACAGCTACGAATGAGGCCAACATATATGCTGAGGACAACAGCAGACACAATGTCAACAGGCTGATGATGCCATGAGCTTGAAATTTCTGAATAATAAATTCTCAGTAAAAACAGTAAGTTGGGCTGGAGAGATGGCTCAGCGGTTAAGAGCATTGACTATTCTTCCAAAGGTCCTGAGTTCAATTCCCAGCAACCACATGGTGGCTCCCATGTAATAGGATCTCATCTGTAATAGGATCCTATGCCCTCTTCTAGTGTGTCTGAAGACAGCTACAGTATACATATAAATAAAATAAACATTTAAGAAAAAAAAAAAAAAACAGTAAGTTATTATGACTTGTACCACTTCAAACCGGGGAAGATAATTTTCTCAGATGCCTTGGGAGTATTCAACATTCATTATATTTTTATGAGAAAAAGAAATAAGCTAACCAGCATATAAAGCTGAATAGAAAAACGACCAATAACAAAAGCTAAAAATATACATTCTGCTCCAGTTAGTACTGTTCCAACTGTTCTTCTGAGTAAGTAGATTAATATATAATCTTCCTCATTCTGTACGTTCAAATAGTGATAATACAGACGTTGCCTTGCTAGTGCTAAGAATTCCGCAAGTGCTAACTCTTGTGTTTATTAACCAGATCAACTATTAAGGAACTGCCTAATGATACAAATAGAAAGTGATAGGATAGGACATTTCAGAGATTGGTATATTTTTATTTAACTTAGTTTTTGTTTTGTTTTCTTTTAAATTAAAGGCAGGTTCATTGGGAAGCTGGTCTTGGAAGAGTTGACTGGCCCCAAGGACTGAGTTCAGGGGAGTCACCACGGGGAGGAGAAATGGTGCTTGTGCAGAAAGAAGAAAAGAGGAAGAGGAGGGAGGGAGGGAGGGAGGGAGGGAGGGAGGGAGGGAGGGAGGGAAGGGAAGGATTGACTAATTTAGGAGGTCAATCATATAGTGGTAACTTCATAGATAATTGCCCCACTGGCTGAAATAATTCCTTTTACTCAGCTGGCTTAAGTCTGACAAAAGAAATGACATTATTTTGTTGTGCTCTAGAGGTCTTCATTTCGGCTTCTCACGATGATGGAGTGGGTGGCTATTCTCATATCTCTGCCCATTATTACACACCCCCTTCTCTGTGACTGAAGTGACTTTCAGGGGGTACAAAGACTTAGTATTTTTTCACCCTGCCATTACTTTTCCTCTTTTCCCTTTAGGGAACTAAACATTAAAGACTGGGTAGGACAGGCTGTAGAGATGACTCAGTGAGTAGTGGAGCTTTGCTTTCAAGTTTGATGATCTAAATTCAATCCCCAGGACCTACATGGTGGAAGAAAACAACCAATTCCCTCAAGTTGACCTCTGGCTGCTACACCAGTACACTGGTGTTCACACACACAACATTTTTAAAAAGCACATGTGAGTAGTAAGAAGAAGCAGAAAATGATAAGATAGGAAAACTAACATTGAGTCTGAATCACAGAAAGATAAAAGATTAAGAGAATAAGGGACTAGCAAGTGGATGGATGCAGGCACCATGGGAGTTGCAGAAGGAAAAGAAAGATTACCTAAGAACAGCTGGGAACTCCCCAAATTTAATGAAGGACAAGATACCACATCCAGTAAGCTCAATGACCTCCAAGCAGAATGACTCCAAAGTGACCCAATCACACACCATCAAACTAAGACATACAAACTGTCCAGAGACTCCTGAGAACAGCCAAGAAGCAACTTGTCATAAATAAGGAGTCCTAGAATATTTTTTTCTCATTAGAAGTTTTGGAGGTCAAAAGGTAGTGGGTTAAGGACTGAGATTTTAAAGCTCTAAGAATCCTATGTTAAGGAAAAAGTCCCCTTCAAAGATGAGGGAGAGATAAAGATACTATGAGGTAAAAGCTGAGCTAGGGGCTTGGCAGTGTAGCTGAGACGTAGACTATGTATTTGTTAGCATGCTTGACACTCTGGGCTCAATCCCTGTGCCACACAACCACTTATTACCTCTAGACCTGCCATCTACAATGCTAGCTGAAGTTACTGAAGACGAGAGGACACCAAACAGTAACCTGAAGCCATACAGGAAACAAAGATCTGAATAAAGTAAATAGATAAATACATTTGTAATTTATAAAATTATTATTATTCAGTTATTAAAGTGGAGTGTGATTGTTGTACATCTATAACCCCAGTGGGAGGATCAATAGTTCAAGGTCAGTTTGAGCTACGTAAGTCCCTGTCTCAAAAGCAAAACTAAATTACAGGCTGTTAGGGCTCATAAAACGAAGGTGTAACCGTGTGATTTGAACAAGTACAAGGAATGAGGAGATGACATAGTGGTATGTCCCTATTATTATACTCTAAAAACCCAATTAGAATTCTAGAACGTTGGGACTGTCTGTCTACTCCATGTTGACCACAATGAAAACAGGCACAACTACCCAATAGGAGAAATAAAGGAATTTAAAGTTTCACCAGACACACACAGACACACACACAAATAAGATAGCTAGAAAAAAGGACAAAGACAGTAAACAAAGCCAAAATGATTTAAGCTGGGGCCAGCAAGATAGTTCAGCAGGAAAGGTGTTTGTCAATCTGAGGGCCTGAGTTGGATCCCTGAGGCCCATAAGATGAGAACCTATTCCCACAAGCTGCCCTGTGACTCCTGCACCTACAAAGGGGCACACACAAATGTAAATAAATAAATGATGTAAGGCATCTATATAGCAAACACCAAAACGACAGAAGTCCCCTTCTTCCCAATTAGCTTTAGAAGAAATTCTGGTAGACACCTACATGAATGGCCCTAAAGATTTCCTGCTAAGTAAAACAGGCCAGCTACAACTGAACAAACACTATGTGATTCTACTTACATGAAGTGTTTATAATGATCAAAGCCATAAATTAAATCGAATGTTGCTGGGGGCTACAAATGGAAGTTTGTTGTTTAATGGATTTAGTTCCCGTTTTATATGATAAAAGGGACCCTAAAGTACATAGTACTGGATATGCATAGCAAAATTATCATGGTTAATATCACTGAAAAGGACACTTAAAATGAGTAAGATGGTAAATTTTATGTTTTATTTTGCCTCAGTGGAAACAAAATGCACTGTCCTCAATAAATCTGTACTGTGCCCTAAGGGTGTACTGTAGAAGGAACGGAAGAAAACAAGTTCAAAAGAAGGAACTGCGACCACTGCTGTCATACAACAAAGCACACTTAAAAACACTGTTATACACTACACACATGGAAAGCATGAAGTTACCTGGCTTCTACTCCAGGCCTGACTGGTGGCTTTCCCGGTGGCGGCCGAGGCAAGAACTGAGGTGAAGCTGAGCTATTAATTTGATCTGTGCTGACCCAGGATACTGGCCTTGGAATCTTGCTCTTTCTAGACTGGGAGATGATGGGTGACAGAAAGCTATCTTCAACTGATCTACTCAGGTGGGAATCTACTGCCAGTCTGGAAAAGGGAGCGAAGACTTCCTCTTCAGAAAAGGGAACTGGAGCAGCGGCTAGTTTCTCCTCTATCAGCTTATCAGAGGCACTTGAGAGGTCCCCCAGGAAAGACTTGAACTGCCTTTTTTCTACCAGAAGTTTTACTATTTCTGGCTGATAGGCTTTCTTCTGTAGAAGCTTTTCTTTTGCAGAAACTGTGGAGGATGATTCAAAAGTTGAGTCTATTTCTTGTGCTAAAACAGGGATCCGGCTGTGCCTGGTCACAAAGGATGACCGAAGCACGTCCTTCCGGGTAGGAGGCCCATGCTCGTTCTCTGAGACACAATGATAGAGCTCTCCGTTTCTAGGGGCAGCTTTCTCTCTCTTACCCTCTTGGTGCAAAAAAGTAGAGAGGTCTCCCTGCTGCCCTGGCAAGTTTTCACTCTTAGCATCATCATCTTTAAACAGCTTATTTGTTTGCATTGCTGCCACCTGGCCTATCTGCCCTTCAGCATGTGGGTCAGTGGCTTGTGGAGAAATTTCTGAAGTTCCAACTGCCAAAAGCTTCATTATCTCATGGTTTTTGTCCTGATTTGGCAGCACACTAAAGTCCTGTGTCTTTGAGACATCCAGAGGTTCTGTGGTAGCTGAAGGGTCCCTTTCTGCCGTCACTAAATCTCCTGGGAGAGAGGGTTCAATACAGTGCTGCCCTTTACTTAACTTCTCATCTTCACGGTCTGAGCCCAGAAGAATGCTTTTCTCTTCGGCTTCTCCAGGGACATTTTCAAATTCTTTCACAGCTAATCTATTATGGTCAGGAGGGTCTTTTGGTCCCAAGTCTTGAGATGTGTCACCATCTCTCATATTAGGTAACATGTCATGACCAGTGTGATCTATCTGAAGTCCCAAATCCACTCTGCTTCCTCCGCTAGCTGGTTCACCCTCTGTCACAACCAAGCCCGAGAAGTTCTCCCTTGGAGAGTAAAGTTCTACAGTAGGCTCCAAGGGCTGAAGATCTTTCTTCTCTGGTGGTGGGCCATAGTGAAAGCTTCCTGAAGTTGACTGTGTTGATGCCACAGAAGGTCTAGGAATTGTAATCTGGAGAAGCAGGGAGAAAAATATAAAAATCCAATTATGTGGGTTATCAATCAGATATATGGTTTGAGATGTAATATTTCAGATTTCAATTTATAAGAGCAGCAAAATGAGCCGGGCACATCCCCCTAATCCCAGCACTTGGGAGGCAGAGGCAGACAGATCTCTGAATTCAAGGGCAGCCTGGTCTACAGAGTGAGTTCCAGGACAGCCAGGAATACACATAAAACCCTGTCTTGAAAAAACAAAACAAGAGAAATATTTACCAAGTTTTTCCAACTCATATTAAATGAGCACTTATGTATAAAAATGAAGGAATCCATGATCCCCTCAAAGGACCTGCAAAGAACAAACAATTCCCCTGGAGGTTCTTTCTGCTTGTTCTCATAACATGCTCTATGCATCAGAAGATTGATTTCAAAAGACTGCATAGTCCAGACTCCCTTACAAATGGGTATGCTATGATAAATTAAATTCTATTATCTTTACAATATAGTTTTATGTGAATATAATTTAGAATCTTTTTAAAAAATGGCCTTTTTAGAGAAATCAGATAAACTTAGATCACTTAATAAAGACCATTAAGTCCTAGGAAAACAAATGAAAAAAATTCTAAATTCAAATTCAAACTGGATAGTTCATGGGAGATTTGGGTTAAATTCACTTTCCATCCAAGTATATGAAAATTATGGTTTGGGTCTAGAGTCAGCTAAGTTGTCTGAAATCTATTTCACTTTGTGTCAGGAAGATAATTAAGTTTATAGACATTTAAATCTTGCCCTAAAACCAGTTGAGACAGAAATTGCCTGACTGACCTATAACTCCCAAATAGAACAGGCATGGTGCTATATATCTATAATCCCAGCTCTTGGGTGGTTGAGGCTCAAAGAATTTGAATTCCAGTCACACTAAACTATGCTGTAAGATTTTGTTAAAAAAAATAAATAAAAATAAGGAACTAGAGTGCTGAAGGGTACTTTAGGTGAATCCAATATAGGCTACTTGAGTTCAGAACAACCATTCACATAAAATAAATTTAAATTAAAGAAAACAACAACAAAAACAGTATAGGATCAGGTGTGGGACACACACCTTTAATTCCAGCACTTGAGTCAGATATCTGGGAGTTCAAGGCTAGCCTGATCTACATAAATGAGTTTCTCTGTAGCTCAGGTTGTCCTGGAAACTGCAGCAATGTTCCTTCCTTGGTTTCTTGGGTACTGGGATTACAGGAATGGGCTAAAAATCCTAAAACAAAACTCAGGTTGGATTAGACTACTTTATTCCCTTGAACTAATTTTCCCTATGCCACAAACAATTGTACAAAGTGGTCCTGGAGGGGTTGGGAGAAGGAGGAGGAAATCACTCTTCACAGCAATCAAACTCTAACTAATTTTTCCAAGTCTTTTGTACTTGGCAAGTGCAAATGTGCTTTAAGAAAAACCATTTCAATTTGGGGAACAATGCTGAGATCAGTAAGGCTAAGCCAAGTGGTGGTGGCGCACGCCTTTAATCACAGCATTCGGGAGGCAGAAACAGGTAGATCTCTGAGTTCGAAGCCAGCCTGGTCCACAGAGTGAGTGCTGGGGATCAAGGCATGTGCCGCTACGTCTGGCTTTATTTTTTTCCCCTATTGCAGGTTCACCAAAGAACACAGTGTAATACTATTGTTTACATGCACCCATTTGCTTAGCTTAAGCTTCTAATTGCACAATCTTAACTGAACAACTAACCTACCTTCTTTTTCCTGTCTTTCTTTCCTTTTGTTTATTCATTTATTTAGACACTGGGTCTCTCCTACAGACAGGTTGGCCAGAATAGGCTTGAATTTACAATGGTCTTCTTTATTTAGCTTCATAAATTCTGGGACTATAGCTGTGAACCTCTGTCCACAGATAGCCTTTATTTCTTTTTCTTTTTCTAGTGTGTGTACGTGTATGTGGGTGTGTAAGAATGTGTTTTTTTAAAAAAGACAGGATCTCTCACTAAATCTGGAACTCAGTGATTTGGCTAGACTGGTTGGCCAGCAAGCGACAGGGACCCATTTGTCTTTGTCGCCCCTCCAGCTCCATGCATACTCCAACTCAGTGCTGGAATCATAGATATATTCTGCTGTGCTTGGATTTTATGTGGGTATTGAGTCTGAACTCAGGTCCTTATGTACAGTAAGTAATTCTCTGATGGGGTCATCTCTCAGCCCCAGTCTTTTCCTTTTTTGTGTTGTTATTGTTGTTTTGAGACAAGGTCTATCTAGCCCTGGCTGTCTCAGTCTCAATTCACCTCCTGAGTACAAGGATTAAAGGTGTGTGTAACCACACCCAGCTCAGGCCTCTCCCTCCCCCCCCCCACCCCCACCCCCTGCTTCTGATTTGAGACAAGAGTTTCTCTCTATACAGCCTTGGCTGTGTGCTGTCCTGGAACTCTAGATCAGGCTGGCATCAAATTCACAGAGATCTTCCTGTTTCTGCCTCCCCCGAGTGCTGGGATTAAAAGCATGTGCCACCATGCATGGCCCAGGCTTTTCTTAATAGCACCTTGAGCAGGTAACACAAAACAATGACAAAAGCCATTTCTTACCGCAGTTAGGGGTCCTTCTGCTTGTGCCTCCATTGGACTTGTGGGAGTCACTGTGAAGAACTGACTTGCGGCTCCAGCCTGGAGGTCTAGCCTGTCTGTGTACAGTCCTGAAGCAGCAGGAGCAGGGCATTCAGCAGAAAGTGCTAAAACCACACCTGAGCTTTCCTTCTTTAAGTGATGGTTGTCAGTCCAAGGACCTACTTGGATCTTTTCATCTTGTGGTGACCCTTCAATGACTTGAAGCACTTCAGGCTCCTCATCTGAAGGGCTTCCAGTTGTTTTATGGCCTAACACCTCATTTGTCCTGAAGTCCTGAAGGTCTTGCTCCTTGTCCACAATCACCCATTCTTTGGAATCAACCTCCTGTTTGCAAGAGCTTAAGTTAACAGCTATAAATCCATTGCTACCACCACCATCTGCCTGCTCTGGGGTGTTGACAGAGGCAGGCTTGGAGACATCAGGAAGATATTCTTCATCATAGTGCCAGATGTGGTCAGTGCGGGACACAGCAGGGACACAAGGCTTAGGAGGCAGAGCAGGGAGAACAGGTTCCTTTCCTGCACTGGAATCTTTCTGCATTTTCTCCATGCTTAAGAAAATGAAAAGAAGTTATTCAATTGTTCGAGAAACATCTATTATATCCTGATAAACTGTATGTGAAACAACCATTCTTACAAAAGTCTGATGAGTGTGTATGGAGAAAGCACGGGGAGGCTCACAGGGTTGCCATTCCTGCTCTTCCCCAACACTGTCCACCGGTAAAGCTTCTTATTAGTCTGACTCCTTGCCAAAGTAATTTTTTATTCCTATTGCTCTCTTATATCATCGATACCTCATCCTCAGTGTATCTTGAATGGTTCAAGCACTATTCAAGTCTAGACCATCGTATGTGGACATCATATGTGGACATCGTATGTGGACATGCAATGGCAGATGACCTTGGATTTCTGATCCTTCTGACTTTACCTTCCTAGCTGAGATCGCAGCCATGGATTACCACATATACATGTATGTGGTTCTGGGGATTGAACCCAGGGTCTTACATATGCTAGGCAGGCACTCTACTAACTGAATTATAAACCCAGCCCAAATCCACAGCCTTTCTTAACCAACATTTCATTTCCAACAGTCCCAGAGCTGGGACTACAGTGTGTACTACTACATACAGCTACCTCTCTCTGAATTCTCTTGAAGCCTATTGATTGGTGAATAGATCTCAAATCTTCTTAAATTTTCATTTCTATCTTGTAACCAAAATTTGCTACAGGCAGAATGTGTCTAACTGATCAAAAGCATCAGTCATTACACTATTTATATACATTATCTGTAAAGTTTAACTTTTCTTCTATCTTGAGAGATGTGCCATAGGGCAAAATGATAAACTTATTTATGCATTTCCTACTGCACCTTATCTCTGTGTCCCCGTTCCTGCCTAATGTTGCCTTTGTACCTCTATACTGTTGCCTCAAAGAGTTCACCTTCTAACAAAGTCACTGCAAATATGTTCATTTTACTGCTGTATCTGGCATTAGGGAGTTAGTAACTCTAAAAGACAAAGACTTTGCTGTAGAATTAGTAATGATATTAGACAAGTCACATTAAGAATGAGGATACAGACCTAAAATATGAACAAATAGAAACTTGGTGTCAGTGTTATAAAAAATGTCTTATTTGAAAGAATTTAGGTAATGGAGATAAAATATTATACTAGTACTACTACTACCACCACTACCACCACCAACAATAATAGTAATAATAATAATAACAACAATAATAATCGTAGTAGTAGCAATAATAATAATAGTAACATGGAAGTTTTAAAAAGAGAGAGAGAGCTGGGCGGTGGTGGCGCACGCCTTTTGATCCCAGCACTTGGGAGGCAGAGGCAGGCGGATTTCTGAGTTCGAGGCCAGCCTGGTCTACAGAGTGAGTTCCAGGACAGCCAGGGCTACACAGAGAAACCCTGTCTCAGAAAAAAAAAATAGAGAGAGAGAAAAGGAGGAAAAAAGATACATTACATACCAGGTCTCAAGAAACTTGTCAGTATCTGGCTTTGGCTCAAGTGTCAGGCGTTTTTCCAGCTCAAAGCTGTGAATGGAACGTAACTTCCTTACTAATGGAACATCTCTGTCTGGCTGAGTAATCTCTGATCGAACACGAATTGGTGAACCAAGGCTTGGAGCATTGAGAACACCATTTACTTGACCATGGCTATTTTCTTCTTCAGTAGCTGCCTAGAAAAAAATATAAATAGAATCATTCCAAATTTATACATGGGAGAAATCACTGAAGCCTTTGAAATAATGTTAACAAATGATTACATGTGTTTTTAGAAAATTAAATTTTTTAAATTTTAATTTAAAAATTCTATTTGTTTATTTACTTACGGTATATATATGTGTACGTGCCCTTACTACATGTGAATATGGGGGTCAGAGGACAACTTGCAGGAGCTGACTCTCCTACAAGCACTTTTACCTCCTGACTCACCTTACCAGCTTGGTCTTCATGTGGATCCCCTAACAAGCCGAGTGGGGGCTGTCCTGATCTCTGCTCCCCCGCATCGGATCCCTTTCCCCCAGCCTGGGACTGCTTGGTTGGGCCTCAGTGGGAGAGGATGTGCTTCTGCTGGGACTAGGTGTCCCAAGGTAAGGTGGTACCCAAGGGATGCTCCCCTTCTTTGAGAAGGGGAAGGGACAATGGGGGGAGGAGAGGAGGAGGAGGAGGAGGGCTGTGACTGAGATGTAAAGTGAATAAAAAAATAAACACTAAAGAAAACTAAAAACTAAAAAAAAAAATTCTAATTGTATGCTGGAGCCTATACCCGTGCACTTGTGTGTGTGTGTGCGCGTGCGCGTGCGTGCGCGCGCATGTTAGTATATGAACACTGAGTGTAGATGCTCTGAAGAATCCAAAAGCATCAGATCTGAGGTGGGGTTAAAGGCTGTGAGTCTACAGACATGAATGTGTTGTGAACTGACCTCAGGAGCTTTCAACAGCAGTACATGTTCTAACAGCTGTGCCACCTCTCCAGTCCCTCCTTAAGATAAAGCACTGGGTTTGTGATATATTCATACATTCATACATATGTATTATTATACTTTGTTCTCATTTCTTTTTTTACTTTGTTCTCATTTTTATCCCCATGCCACCCTCTCCTTTCAAATTTATAGTTACATAATTAATAACCATACAAAGTTAAGACAGACTCCTCAGAACTGATCACAGATGATCTTGGGAGGATATAGTCCCATTCATAAAAGGATGACTGGCCAACTTTCCACCAATCATGTTTTAAGGCTGAACCCTAAGCTTCAACCTCCTTCCCAACTACACCCTTTTTTATTGTCATCATTTTCAAGACAAGGTCTCACTGTGTAGCTGTGAACTAGAACTCACTATAAACCAGCATGGCCTCAAACTCACAGAGATCTACCTGCCTCTCTACCCCCCCCCCCAACTGCTATGATTAAAGATATGTGCCATGGCACATAACAACTACTACTACTGTAATGATGGTCTTTTCAACATTATCTTCATATTCCACAAAAGGAAAAGAATAAGTAACCACAGCAAGGAAAAGTCTAGGGATAATCTGCCCAAGAGTTAAAAACTCACCTACCTCTCCTCTACACTCAAGTGTTCCTGCGTACAGTCCTATCTTTTGTTTATCATCCACTTGACCAGTATATGATCAAGTGTGATCTGTGATCTTTCACTCCCTGGCCTGCCTCTTCACATCATAGGGACAGTTCACCAAGGCTGTGAACAGAGCTACACTTGAGCAGAGTCAAGAAAGGGTACAGGGCTCTGTCATGCCATCTGGAAAGATGATCCACTTTTGTTCTACAGATATTTCTTCTCTGTTTGCTTGTCATATGATTTCCCTCCTTCTTCCTATCCTTTTATGGTAGTGGTAGAGATGGAACCCAGAGCCTTACATATGCCACTCAAGTACTAACTCATGTTCCTGATTTATTTTAAATATCTATCTTTTCCATAAATATACTGAATATTAATGCTTGGTATCTAAACCTGAGCACTTTGGAGCACATTAGCTAAAAGATCACAGTTTCTAATACTGAAGTAATTATCAGGGGGGCTGGAGAGACGGCTTGGTGAGAGACAGCAGAGATGATCGCTGGCTACACTTGCAGCGTGCCTGGGTTTAATTCCTGGCACTCACATGATGGCTCACAACCATCCAGAAGTCCAGACCCAGCGGACCCAATGCCTTCTGATCTCCACAGACAATAGACACACGTGGTGCAAATACATACATACATGTAGGTAAAAACAGCTATATACATAAAAATCTTGAGAAAGTTTTAAGATAAAATTCATAGCAATACTTTGTTCCACTTACACTCACAATTGAGAATCATAAGCTGGTGGAACTATTTAGTGGATAATATTTCTTTTTCTTTTTTTTAAATGAAAATAAAATTGTATCATTTACCTTCTTCCCTTCTCTCCCTCCATCCTTCCCCATGAACTCTTGCCTCCTCAATTCATGGTGTCTAGTCTTCAACCACCATTACAGATATATGTATATATCTTCCTAAATATATAAACCAACCTGCTTGGTCCATATGATGTTATGTGTATATATATGATTTCAGGGCTGAACACTTGTTATTGGATAATCAATCAGAGGGCTCCTCCCTGGTGTGACTAAGATGACCAGGGTTTGATCTCCACGACTAAAGTGGTAGAAAGAACCCCACACCCATCCACACTCACTCTCTCTCTCTCTTTCAACTGCGTATCAGTAATAGAAGAGTATTAAGTACACAAAAAGATATTACTTCATATGTAAGAAATACATACTTTACAAATTCCGAGCTTTATCTTGTTCTTGTTGATATCCATCTCTTCCCAGACATCTTTTTCCTGAGGGCGAGGGTGCCCCAGAGATCCAGGCAATCTATCTGGTGATACACCAACAGGGACTCCATTCTCCCCATCACTAAGCTGCTCATCTGGAAACACTTCATCTGTATTTTCTCGAAGCAAGTCTCCTGGGATGGGGGTGGCATTTGCAATTCTGAAAAGTTAGGAGAGAAAACCAGAAAACTTCAAAAGACCAGAATAAAGAGTTACCATAAGACTATACTACATTTTTGTCTCTAACTTTAAGTGATAAGTCTATACATAATTAAGAGTTAAATAAAATAAAACCTAAAACTCTTTTAACACTAATCTTATGTTAATACTGAAAAATGAACCTTTCTCTAAATTGGGAGAAGTTAAAATTTCAGTGTGACTTTCAATGCAGATCTTAATACAACCAACTGATTGACAATCACTTTTTTTTCTTTTTTTCTTCTTTTTGTTTTTTCAGGACAGGGTTTCTCTGTGCAGTCCTGGCTATTCTGGAACTTGCTTTGTAGACCAGGATGGCCTTGAACCCACAGAGATCTGCCTGCCTCTGCTTACTGAGTGCTGGGATTAAAGGTATGTGCCACCACCACTGGCCAACAATCACTTTAAAAGCCTGAAACATCTGTTCTACTTTCCATGAATATCTCATCAATAAAATAAAATAATTTACCATTTTTGTCAATAATTAAAAACAATTACAGGGAAGTACTAAGTGCTATAAGTAAATAAATAGGGGTTAGGTGACTTTTTAGTATGAAATGTGTACTACTGTTTATTTTATTTCATTCAATGTATTTTGATCATTTTCATCTCCCGGAACTCATTCCCATCTTTGTACCCACAGCAGTTTATGTATTTTGTTCTCTCTCTTAAACAAAACAAAACAAAAAACAAAACAGGCTGGAGATGGCTCAGTGGTTGAGAGCACTGACTGCTCTTCTAGAGGACCTGAGTTCAGTTCCAGCAACTACATGGTGGCTCACAACCATCTGTAATGGGATCTGATGCCCTCTTCTGGTATGCCTGAAGACAGCTACAGTGTACTCACATACATAAAATAAATAAATAAAATTAAATCTTGAAAAAAAAAATAAAAGGAAAGAAAAAAAATAAAAAAGAGTATTTCCGGCTGAACACAAGATTTAGCAAACAAAGAAACTTCTAACAAGTAACCTGGAATACCTAAACATAGGGAAAAAGTCTTCAGGGGACTGCCTTGACATATGCTGTTACTGTAAACAGCAAAACAGATAACCTTGCCAGGCATACTCGGTGCTTAGGAGGCAGAGGCAGGTGGATCTTTGTGAGTTCAAAGCCAGCCTGGTTTAAATAGCAAGTTCTAATCAAGTCAGAGATATATAATGAGATTTTGTCTCCCAAATAAAACAGAACAAAACAAACAAAAACCCTAAAACAGCAACAACAAAATAAACAAACAAACAAACAAAAGAAAGGAAACCCTCTCAGGCAAGCACTCTGAGGCACTCTCAGGGTAACAGTGTGCCTTAGCATAAATGGTCTAAGGGTGCTTCATCGTCGTCTTGTTCTGGTTTCCTGCCTCGCCTCTGCTTCTGCCTAAGTGGTCAATGTTCAGAGATCTCTTTACTAATACTGTAGGTAAAAAAATCTAGAAAATTCATTCTTCAGTGACCTTGGTTCTCACAAGAAAACAGCCTAGTAAAGCAGTTTCTGTAGTTCAGACACAAGAAACAGAGTAAAGAGGTGATTTGGCCTGAAATAGTCCAAATATGCAAATTATTAAAGATCAGAAATAAACTGAGTACTGAAAAAATGTTCAGGTATGAGTTTAATGTAATTTACTGATTCTGGAAGGTCCATCTACTGACCATGCTTAACAGTTTGATCTCTCAATGTTCCGAACCCTTTCCACTTACGCCCATCATTTTCCTCCTCTATAATAGTTCCACTTCCTATTTCCCCTTCTACTCCTTAGGAAATAAAGCACATCTGTCCCCAGCTTTCCTCACCTGGTATACAATATCACACACTTCAGGAAACTCATCCCTGTCTTTTCCATACAGACTCTTTTCCAAATGACACAGTTTTCCTTTGTATCTAACTCCTTATTTTTCATTTCTTCCATATTATTTTTTTCCTTTTCCTAAACTCTCTTAATCTAGAGTTTGACAAAAGGAGAGAAATAATTTCTCACCAAGCAAATAATGGCATGTTCAGGAATATGAGCACTAAAGGGAAAGGGAGGAGTTTGGTACAGCACTTGGCCAGCATATACCAAAGCCCTGCATTCATCCCTAACACCTATGAAACCAAAGGGAAGGAAAGATGAGAAGAAAAAAAGATGGAAAAGAGACAAAGCATGGGGCTGCAGAGATGGCTCAAAGGTTAACAGCACTTGTTGATGCTGCTGAAGACTCATCACCCACATGGTGGCTTACATCCATCTATAACTCCAGTTCCAGGGGATTTAATACCCTCTTCTAGACTCCACAGGCACCAGGCATGAACAATATAGTGGAACTCAAGAGGCTGAGGCAAGAGAATCACAAGTTTAAAATCAGTCTAGTCTACACAGTGATTTTAGATTTAAAGCCAATCTAAAATGCAGAGTGAAACCCTGCCTTATAAAAATAATCAACTCAGCCAGGCAGGGGTAACCCACACCTTTAAACTTAGCACTTGGGAGGCAGAGGCTGGGGGAGGGGGAGGGGGAGGGGGAGGGAGAGAGAGAGATCACGAGGGCAAGCTGGGAGACTGAGGGCAGGAGAACTGCAAATTCAAGGTCAGCTTAGTTATATAGCAAGATTCCTGCCTCAAACATGGCAAATAAATAAGAAAAAATATAAATGGAAATACACCATAATAATTCCTAATATTCTATATAAGTTAAAGTTCTTTCATAAAAAGAATATTCCTACACATTTTGTTCCCATTAAGGTTTTTTTTTTTTTTTTTTTTTTTTTTTTTTTTTTTTTTTT